TCTTATGTTGCTTATTCTCATGATATACCAGTTAAAGGTTGGGATTGAATCCTTTGATTTCTAGAAGGAATAAAAGGTGATATATATATATATATATATATATGAGCCCAGTCACCTGCCATGTGGACCATTTACTATTATATGATGTTAATAAATGCATCTATTGTATGGTCACATGTGCGTTTGTTATCAACTTGCAGATTGAATTTTGTAAGGTTGCTTGATCAAATTATTAGAGCACATTTTTAGAATGTAAATTATGATGATTTATCTTGATAATGCTGGTTTAAATCCAAGTTGGATTAGCAGAAATTGTATGTCTTCAATTATAGCTAAACCATTGATTATGAGAACAAAACTGTCAAAAAGACTTTTGGTATGAGGTGTCTTATTTAATATACAACACCACTTATACGCATCTAGCCAATAAGTTATGATAAATTCTCCCAGTCACAATTGGTTCAGAGTTAGGAACCAAATAATTTCCATCTAGAAGTATGGATGTGCTATATAATTTAATTATCCCACCACAATGCACAAAGATGGGTTCCCACTAAAGTGATGTTTTCATAAGGGAGTAAGATACGCAGTGCATTCTTTTTTCCCCTTACCTAAGGTTTTATCCCACTGGGTTTTCCTAGCAAGATTTTTAACGAGGCAGCAAACAATACGTATTACAAGATATGTGTACTCTTTTTCCTTCACCGAGATTTTTTCCCACTGGATTTTTTCTTAGTAAAATTTTAACGAGGCACATTTTTATAAATATCCACTATATAATATAATATTTCATAACATTAATGATAATATCTACGTGGAGATTAGATTTCCTCAAATCTCAACCAAACATTATATATCTTATACACCCAAACCAAAAGGCTCCAAACAACAACAATAACAACATACCCAATATATTTTTATAAGTGTGGTATGCCATATAGGGAGGGTAGTTTGTATACAATCTTTACCGCTATATTGTGAAGGTAAAGAGGTTTTCAAAAGACCCTCAACTCAATATAACAAAATCACAATAATTACGACAGAGAACAACGACAACGAAAGAGTAACAACAATAAGAAAAATAAAACGAAGTAAAGATAAACCTATCGATATAAAAATAATGAACACAAGGTAACACTAGTACTATAGCTAGGGAAGGAAGTACATGTATGAAAAGGAAATAAACTCGACCACTAACTAACCTATAACCTTAATCTTCGACCTCCACACACCCCTATCAAGGATCATGTCCTCGGTAAACTGAAGATGTGCCATGTCCTGTCTCATCATCTCTCCCCAATATTTCTTTGCCTACCACACCCTCTCTTTGAACCCGTCATAACTAACCTCCTCACAAGGGCATCAATGCTTCTTCTCTTCACGTGACCGAACCATCTCAGCCTAGCTTCATGCATCTTATCCACCATGCAGGTCACTCCCACCAATTTCGAATATTTTCATTTCTAATCCTATCCCTCATAGTGTGATCACATATCCATCTCAACATTCTCATCTCCGCCACCCTTAACTTCTGAACATAAGAGGTCTTGACTGGCTAACACTCCACGCCCCATAAAATATGATCGGTCTAACGACTACTCTGTAAAACTTACCTTTAAGTCTTGGCGACACATTTTTGTCGCATAAAACGCCGGATGCAAGCCTACACTTCATCCACCCTGCTCCAATACAATGTGTGACATCCTCGTCCATCTCTCCATCTCTCCATCTCCTTGGATTATAGACCCAAGATACTTAAAACTATCTTTCTTGGGTATAACTTGTGTGCCCAACCTCACTTCAATATCACCCCTCCCGAGCCACATAACTAAACTTGCACTTCAAATATTTTATTTTGGTCCTGCTCAACTTGAAACTTTTAAATTCTAGTACCTACTTCCAAACCTCCAGCCCAGCATTAACACTGCCTCGAATCTCGTCAATATTATTATTTTCTTAAACGAAAAAAAGATATTGATGCCATTTGTGATTCGGGCTTAATGAACCATTATACTCTACCCGGCCGGAAATCGGGTTTTTGGGAGAGCCGCTTAACAATGGCGGATTTACTTCTCTCCTTTCACTTGTCGGAACACTACCCAATAATAAATCCCTCCTCAAACATTCAACTCAAACCCTAACCCTAATTGTGAAAATTCCAAACTCACAAATTATAGTTCATAGATCAAACGAGATGGAAACTCACATGGCTCACCATCTGTTTGAGAGACGCCCCATATACAAGTCCAAAGCTCCTGCTGCCAAATGGTTCAAAGAATGGTAAGGAAAAAAGAATTTAAATGAATCTCAATTTCGCATTAATCACTTATTCAATCATATTTTTAAGTTTTATCAATTCCAGCTCCTTTGTTGTACCATATCTAGCCGGTCCTTGCCTGCACAAGCAATAATAACTACGAATTAAATTTGTTTTTTGTTTTTTTTCTTTCTAATTATAGTTAGATGTTATAGCTTCATCTTCTGTCTAATTGGGTTTGATTTCAGTCTGATGGTGCATTAATGGAGGAAATAGTTATAAGTAGCTTTATGATTATCCAAGGATATATCGAATCAATCAATCAACTAAGCCTCAATCTCAAAGAATTCATCATGGTTGAACTGGGTAACCTTTACGAAGCTCACATAGGGAATGCCAATTGTCAGGAAAAAAGCGTAAAGATGCTAAAAGGGAAGTCTTTGTGGTGAATAGAAAGATGATGAGATTCAGTATGAATCAGTTGTATTGTTAACTTGAATTTGCAACTTATTTGCTTGGAACTTTTCGTTAGAGGCTAAGGACCAATAATTCGTACATTAAAAGCTGCAATAGAGACCACAGGACAAATTGGTTTCTTTAGCTCCAAGCAAACTTGTCAGTTAACAATCATGTCAGGGAGGACTGGAGGAGCTACTACAAATTATAAACTAGAATATCACCTTGGATTCTGCTGCTTGTATTTCTAACATTCCATAACTGGCATGAACTTTTAGTAGTTCAGACATGTGTTTGATTTCATTTAACCTGTCCTTTAATTATCTCAGAGGATCAGTCATTCGTCACTGGGTGAGAAGAGTGTTTTTAGCCATGTAATTTCATTATAGTTCATACTGTGTTTTAATTCTCTTACTATTATCCTTTTTTCCCAGGGTCCCGCAAGATGTTGTAGCAACTGGTGGGAAGTGCTACCTCTTAAAGTGGGTGAATGGTTAGTTCAAATCTGAAAGCTCCTATACATCTTTTTTTAGTTTTATGTTGGTTCATTTTATTTTCTTTATTTTTCTGGATCTTTGCAGGATTTTTAACTGCTTTTTTTCGTCATATGCTGTGGCTTTTAGGTTGTACATTGAGTTTGACCTTATATTTCTCCCTGTCTACTTTCTTTATCAGAGGCCACATTAAAAGCTCTGAAGGAGAAGCCCAAAGAGCCAGAAGTACCCGTACCAGAGCCGGAGCCAACTACGGAAGTTCTTTTCCTTTGTAGCTATGATGGTTGTGGAAAGACATTTATTGATGCCGGGGCCTTGAGGAAGCATTCTCACATCCACGGGGAGAGGCAGTATGTATGTCACTATGAGGGCTGTGGAAAGGTAAGAGTATTGTCTTTGCATTAAGACTGCACTATATGCTATAGAACTTCAGGATGAGCTTGGCCATTTCATTTTATGATTTTTTTTTTGCAAAGAGCATCTCATTGTATTGCTCTTTCTTCTATTTTACTTATTTTGCTTTCATGACATTGTCCTCTGGTAGGGTTCAGTGGGGGAAAGAGATGGAACATGGAATTCATTCCTTGTCGCAAACTATATTACCTTTTTTATGTACCGTTCCTTTTAGAAGTCCGTAGTTCATATGGGGACTCTGTTTCTCGATGGATACCATAGGTTCTCCTTGAACTCATAAGATATTTTCGTAATGAGTTGGTTGGCAGAGGAGTTTATTGAAGTTGTATTATAGGAGTGTATTGTTTCATTTACAATTGAACCTTCTTCAACCATTTTTAGCCTCAGATTCAGTGTGTGTGCTAATCATGGGTAGATTGGATTTGTACTACTTTGTCATACTGTTTTGGATCAACTTAATCTTTTGTCTCGAGGAGAAAAAAATCCATCTTATTTCTATGATATGCAAGTTCAAGCATATGGTTCCTTCATTTATTTCTTGTGTTTTTTTTTTCTCTGAGTCCACTTGGGCTAGTTGTACAGGTCTTCAATTGTATCTCGTCTTCTTTTTGCAGAAATTTTTGGATAGTTCCAAGCTAAAACGGCACTTTCTTATTCACACTGGGGAAAGAGACTATGTATGTCCACATGAAGGCTGTGGCAAGGTAATAAATCATCAGCTATTCAAATAGTTCTTCCTGTTTATGTTTTCCCTTTACCCTATCCAGGGCCTCTCCCTCTTACCCACCAAAAGAAATAAAACGAAGAAAAAAAGATGACAAGAAGCGAAAAAGTGCGCCAGCTGGCCCTCAGGGATTTCTTGGTTATCAGGAAAAAGTGTTTCCAAATTCTCTGTTACTGTAGGAATTCTATGTTGTTTCTTCTTTCTTTCGGGATATATGTCCAGGAACACAGACATGCTTGCATGTATATGGGCATGTACACTACTATAGTTTTAGATAGCTTGTGCTATTTATTGTGTTTCGATTTTACCGATTTCCTTTGAAACCACTGCAGGCATTCTCACTGGATTTTAACTTAAGATCACACATGAAAACACACTCCCAGGAGAACTATCATATCTGCCCGTATCCAGAATGTGGAAAGCGATATGCACATGAGTACAAGCTTAAAAATCATATTGCATCTAGTCACCAGAAGGTTTGCAATTTCTCTACCACCCTTGTTTTGACCATGCAATACTAATACGGACTTTATAATTTCTCAATTTTGCCTCTTTGATCACAAACAAGGTGACACGTGTCCTGTTCTGTTCCAACTATTTTGGATTCTTAACATTTTTGGGTCAATTCCTCTCTGTAAACCAGTCTGTACTTTGGGTAATGTACACAAATAAAAATAACTTATTTCACATGCACATGTAAATGTAGTACTTTTTGAATATATATTTCTTTTATAAGATTTTCCTTGTTCATAATTTGCAATGCTTTGCGCGGCGGGGGTTTGGGGGGGGTTTGGGGGGGGGGGAGATAGAGAACTTTGGGTCCTTGTTGATATTTTCATATGTTTCAGATCAACCGCCACCCCTCCCTGCCCCATGTTCGCCCTTCATTTCCTTGTCAAATATCTTTAAAGGGAAAATACTCTTCTCACTGTGTAATCTTTTCCTTAATATGAATGTGTAGTTGGAACTTTGGTGTCCTGTCAATGGTTGGCTTTATGGCACTGTGAGCATACTGACCGTACTTATTAGAGAAGACAATAGTTTTGCAGGAATTTATGTCCTGTATTCCCTTGTGCATCACTAAGTAGATCCCAATTTGAAGTTTGACTTTTATGTTGACAGTTTCCTCTAATGATTTAGTAGATGTTTAAGCTAATATTTTCCTAAAGAAATGCCAATGTGGATGCACCTTTCTTTGCATCTTCTAAAGTAGCATTTGAAGCAGGATTTGACTATCGATTTTAAATCTTTTCATTTTGTAGAACTCTACACCAGATGCTCCAAAGTACACCCCACCTGTGGAGAAGCCAATGAAAACACCGAAATCTTCTTCAGCGGCGTATGCCTCATCATCGTCTGACCGCCCTTATAGCTGTCCGTACGAAGGGTGTGACAAATCTTACATCCATGAATACAAGCTGAATCTTCATTTAAGGAACATGCACCCTGGTCATTTTCCAGAGGATAATGCCAAAAATGCTCAATCTACAGCTGACAATGATATGGATGAAGGCAGTGACCAGGACGCGTATGCTGCAAAACGTGGAAACGGCAAAATTCAGAAACAGAGCAGGCCAAAACCAAGCTTAAAGCAACCACCTTTAAAAGTTGCACGCAAAAGCTCTAGTGCTTCTCCAGCCAATATCAGTATAGCAGCGAAGAAGCCCTGGCCTGTTAAAGAAGAGAACTACAATGAAGAAGATAGTGAAGAAACAGAAGAGGAGCGGGATGATGTTGGGGATGGATGGAGATATGGTGAAAACGATGACGACGACGAAGAGACTGAAGAAGATGAGTAGGCTTATTTCGTACATATTCGGGTACTATGTCTTGGGATAAATGGTTGTCACCGTCTAGAAAATGGAATAAGACCTTGTTATTGCTGTACAATCAATCCCTTTGACTTTTATGAAGCACAAGGTTTCGGTATTCGCACACCCCACCCTCTCTAATCCTCTCTCAGCATATAGTACATATGATGGAACTTGGAGCTTTGTGTTATTGTGCAAGCTTCTTACTCATTCAGTTATTTCATATATTGAAATATCCTATTTTGTTACGTACAAATTTGACCATATCGAGGACTTGAGATCCATAAATTGTCATACAATATAAAGTACTCTTAAATTAAAAGGAAACTCTATGTACATTTTAAAATGGTCAAAATATAGTTTAGACATTATCAATGAAAGATGCACCTAATGTCAATTTAGAAATAATAGTTAGAAATGTGGTCATAAATACACATTTCAATAGCTGTAAATGCTGTGTACTAAGTTGGCTACGACTACGAGTATTCGCAGATATTAAAAATTGACGAATTTTTAAAAAAAAATTAATTGAGAAATAGTTCAGATGAAATACTGATTTTTTTTTTATTTAAAAAAACTGAAATTTATATGCAAACAGACTTTATTATGGAGTATCAATTATTACCCTTTTCTGCTTCGAAAAAAAGTTTTCTTAATACTCCTCAGTCCTCACTATCCAACACTTTCATTGACAAAATAAAACCCAGCACGAAACACCTTCGCTTCCCTCTTCTCCGTCAGACCGTCACTATGCCACAAAGAGGATTTCATGCTAGAAAAAACTAAGTAGAATTTGCAGAGAAGGGTTTGATTTTCAAACACCACCTTCGGGCAGGTATAAATCCACTGTAGAATATCTCATCTTTCTATTTTTTGATTGCTAAGATTCTTGATGACCCTTTTCGATTTTTTATAAAATGCGTAGGTTTCAACCGGAATGAATAAAGGAGGGGTTGGTGGAAGTGGTGGAGGTGGCGGACCAACTGCTGCTGCTGCCGCCGCCGCAGCTCAAAAACAGAAGAGCTTGCTTCAGAGAGTGGATGCTGATATTGGCAATATTGTTGACAATTTTAGCTTCCTTGTTAACGTTGCGCGGGTATATATATCTCTATTTCCTTCAGCTTCTCCCTTTTCACATGTATACACACTAAAAAACAGATCCAAGATTTTTAAAACCAGTGGGTACTAAATACAGATAGCCCATTGCCCCTATGTGACAATGGGTGTAGACCTTTTCAACTGTTTATAGTTCTGAGTGTAAGGCCGAAAAGCTGCACCCTCACTGTATACTCATGATTTATAATTAGGTTGGTGCTCCATTAGGGTTGGAACTAGCACGCCAGTTACGGGTTCGGCTAACTTTAGCCTAAACCCTTGTCTTAAAAAAATCCGTTAAAAATGTACAAATTATTAATTCAAAACGCAATAACTTAAAAAGACAAAGAATTCTGAACCTTTTAGCTCCAAATCCGGGCTCCGCCTCTGGTCAAGGGCAAACACGAGACTTTTTCTCAGCGGAGGGTAATATTGGACCAAAACTTTAGTGGAGGACAAATTTGCTCAATTTCGGATAGTACATTGGCCAATTCGATCTTTTTCCCTTCTTATATTTACGTCCGTAAGACATAGAAATCTTGGGGAGAGATGATCAAGCAGGGACACAGTGCAGCTTGAGCTAACCGAGGACATGACCCTTGATAATAGGGGGTGGGGGTTGAGAATTAGGATATAAGTTTAGTATATAGTCGAGTGTTTCTCGTTGTCTTCCTTAGTGCAATAGTATTAGTGTTAGTATGGTATCACTTTTATCCATAGTTTGCTAGTACCACATATCTTGTACTGTTATTACTTGCCATCAGTACTTTTTTAGTTTGCTATCACTACATATCCTGCACTAATACTTGCTATTAGTACTTCTTTCATTTTCTCTTTTGCTATCTTGGATTTAGTTTTCTAATTACCCTTGTATTGTTATTACTTGCTATCAGTGCTTCTTCCATCTTTTCTCTAGCTGAGGGTCTACCGGAAACAGTCTCTCTGCCCTTCCGAGGTAGGGGTAAGGCTGCGTATATCCTACTCTCCCCAGACCCCACTTACGGGAATACACTGGGTGGTTGTTGTTGTTGTTGTTGTTGTTGTTGTTGTTGTATATTTACGTCCTTGCGGAATCTTAAACAGATGCTCGCCCACCCATGTGAGGAAAACCACAAAGATCTTTAGAATTTTTTTTCGTTTTTATCAGATATTAACTTACTTCTACAGAGCACTTCGTCGACAATTAACGGATTAAACTTCGAGATGGCATGAATTGGAAAAAGGAAAGAAGTGTGCAATTCTTTTTCTGTCATGAACACTTATTTTGCTGCCCATTTGTTCCATTTCAGCTCCAAAGGCCATTATGCTTGATTCAAAACTGTTAAAGTGAAACTAGAAGATAGTATACTTGTTTATCTTCTTGCAGGTGGTTAATATATTTGTTTACACTTGATGACAACTGCTTATAACAGGTGAATGATCCACCGGTCAGAAACTCGCAAGAAGCATTTATGATGGAGATGCGTGCATCTCGAATGGTGAGGATTTTTCGGTTCTCAGTTGTACATAGCTCTGATGTTCAATGAGATGTACATCTCAAATTACATGTGAATGTGCATACAAAAAGAATTCGTTTTGTATTACCAAGTTGACAATATTCATTGCAGGAAAAGTGGCCTACTGACCTGAATTTACATATTGCAAAAACTTTATCTTTTATCTTTTAGTACTCTTTTATTGAAATATGGCTGAACAGTGGAAACAAAGGCCTTCACCATGTTAAAATGGTTCTGTGAGTTATGGTGTTTTACTCATTATCCCCTTCTTGTTATACCACAGATACTTAGAATTCTCAAACTGGCAAAGAACCTAGCTCTTTGTCTTTTTTAAATGGAAACTCCACTTTGAGTGAAGAATTTAGGCTAAAGTTTCTGTGTTTCCTCTTAGCTTCGGTGCGTTTTTGTGAGTGCTACTCAGCTATCATCGGCGAAGAGCTTGTTCTCCTCTACGTTTCTGCAATAAGTAAGACTTGATGTGGGTTTATCCTTTCTGAGTTGATGCAAAGACCAAAACTGCTTTATGCTTGAATCAAAGCTGCTTTCAAAAACAGATTCTCCTATTCTTATATGCCTTTTTCTGATTTTGCACTTCCCTTGGTATCTCATATAATGGTATTGGATGCATAAACAACAGGTCCAAGCAGCTGACACACTGCTTAAGTTGGTGTCAGAGTTGAAGCAAACAGCTATATTTTCAGGATTTGCATCTCTAAATGATCATGTGGAGCAGAGAACAGAAGAATTTACTGAACAGGCTGAGAAAACTGAATGCATGTTATCTAGAATTGGAGAGGAAGCAGCTGCTAGCCTTAAGGAGCTTGAGTCACATTATTATTCTTCTGCAGAAAGAACCAGTAGTCTGCCTTCTTACAGCCAAGAAACAATGCCCTGAACATGGCTCTGCCAACATTGTTTCTTTCCCTTTGATTTTTCCTTTCTCTATTCCCGCTCCCAATCTATCATCTGGGATAATGTGGCAAGAACTTCAGCTGTTGCCCCCCATATTCTTGCTAAGTGTATTTGTCTTTCTTGAAGGGATAATTACCATGAGGTTCTTGAACAAACGATCTCTAATGATGAGAAATCCATTTTAATCCAACTTATTATTACTCCAAAGCCTTTTTCAAACGAGACGACATCATTAAGAGGTCATTTGGCTTAGCTGATTGTAAATAGCTAATAAGTTTTAAGTGCGGAAAAACACTTTTAAGTGCTAAAACTGATTTTATGAATAAGTAGTTATGTGTTTGGATAAAAGTACTGAAATTGATAATAAGCAGTTGAATGTTTAGTAAAAAGGTGTTGAAGCTGTTCTTTTATTAAACTGACTAAAATACCACTAAAGTTTTACAAATGATTATAAATTAAAAAGTTTATTCATAAAGAAAAGGACCAATGAATTGCAATAGCAACATTATTGCTTTGAGTATTTTATACGGATTGTTCCCTATTTTGATCTCGCCGTTACGTGTTTCGTCACAATTAACATGTGTTAGAGGGATTGTCAAGAGAATTGACTCAGGTTTGTTAAAAGTTATCTCTTCTTTCTTTTTGGCATGATCCATACGATACAAACGAAACGAGCAAATACACAACTTCCATAAATGATTCTATTCATATAAATACTAGAGATGTATATGTTCTTAATTCCCCATGTGTCCTATTATTCTATCATCTGTTCATGGGTCTCAGAAAAATATGTAAGTTGAAAAAAAAAGTTTATTTCATTATATTACTCAAAGGCATAATGATTTTATGACATTCCGAAAGATTTTATTCACGTACTTCTCATGCATTGCATTCACTTATATATGTACATTGACCCATGATCAAATGACGTTATATACGCGTATATATGTATATGAGATATGGGAAAAGGCAGAGGCGGATCTAGGATTTCTTGAACATGGGTGCACCATTAAAAAAGTAGGGAAAAAAAGTATTTAGTGGAAATCGATCCCTATTCCTTTGGGTGAATAACCCAATACTCAACCAAGTGCTTCAGACTTTTTGGAGCATGGGTGCCAACACATAATATTAGACAAATTTTAGAAAATACGTACATAAAATACCTAGTTTGACGGAAAGACCATTTTTTACACGTGCCTCGTGATTTGGGCTATACATCCTCCCCTAGGAAAAGGTTACGGCGTTATATCGCACCACCACCTGATCAGCTGGTATACGTTGATGATTTGCCCACAGTGGTTGAGATGATATGACGGGATGCCCTCAGAGGCTTGATGATGTTATGAACGCATATACCTATGCATGGCATGACATTTATACGCATATACATGACATTATGATATTAAATGATTCACAGAATTGTTTAGACATACATGTCGAGTCTTTTACTCCATAGTTCTCTCATGTCTATTATTTACTGATTTTCATTCCTTAAATACTCGGTACATTATTTGTACTGACGTCCCTTTTGCCTGGGGACACTGCGTTTCATGCCCACAGGTCCCAATAGACATGTTGAGAGTCCTCCAAGTAGGCTATCAGCTCAGCGGAAGATGTTGATGCGCTCCATTTGCTCCAAAGTTGCTTGTTTGGTCAGTATGATTTAAGCGCATATTGTTTGGTATGGCGGAGCTCTGTCCCGATCTTTATGTTAAGTGTGTACTCTTAGAGACTTGTAAACAGATGTCATGTATACGAATGCTTGTATGGCCGTGCCGGCCTATATTTTGAGTTTACAAATGATCATGTCGGCCTTATAGGCTCGTATATCACATGTATAAGTTTTTATATCAGGTTGGGTCGTCCTATATTGAGTATCCCCTATGTTTATTCTGGTTAGCCCATGATGGCCCGTTTGGCCCATTTGCCAATAAAAGTACAATAAGAAAGATATGTTATGTTGATACTCGGTTAAGCAAGGTACCAGATGCTTGTTGCGGCCCATAGGTTTGGACCGTGACATAAACAACCTTTACTTGATTCTAAAGAAGGGCTTAAATTTTATCTTTAATTTTATACACTATTCATTTTATACATTGAATAGTGTATAAAATTCTAACACAACCAAGCTAGCCTACAGCAGGTTTGATTTTTCATAGCAAATTAGCCAAAGTATAAATAAATAAACATCACGCTATACGTATCTTAAATCATTTGGACGATTATCTTTTAGCAATTAAAGTAAAAGAACAGACAAGAAGGCATATAAACCAGAAGAGAATTTCTGATTTCCAATTAGTAAATCGATATTCTTTACAGATGAGAAACAAAACTGAACGGCACTACAACTGAAGGGTTTCTACCTAGTCTTAAAAACTTAAAATCAACTGCAGGTACACAACTAATGAGGGAAGCAGGTATGAGGGAACAGAGTTTCATAGGCAAAGCTCCATGTCAACAAGAGATCTTCATATACCGGGCCAATTTAATGGGACTTTACGTACTCCTGGACAATATGCAGACCCTCAGTCTCTTCCCCATAATCCTGCAAAATGATAGTAAGATTAACTAAGACGGAAAATCTCCTCTGTTTCCACAACTTATTAGGTTCTATTTATATTTCAGCATTTTTAAGACAGAAATCCAGCCCGAGTCATTTTCCTTTAATATATAAAGCCGAACTATACATGCTAGAACAAGATTATGATGCTTAGTAGTTCATGGATATACCTTCACAACAACACAGCCGCAGCCAACCACTTTCCTTGCTTTCCCTTCAGAGTCAATCTTACACAACTGTAAAATGGGCCCAAAAATAAGAATTAGAAAAGGACAGAACGTTCATACTCCAACGATTCATGACGCATGAAAATGCACATCAAGAGAAGTCGGAAGTTAATATTTTATCACCCCTCTAAGCCACTTAGAGCTAAAAAGTAGCAAGTGGCAAACAAAGTAAACTTACACCAGCCCATTCGCCAAGAGTTTTTGCATTCGGAACTGTGATCAAGCTGACATTGTGATCAGCACAGAGTGCTTTGACCAATTTGACATAATCTGGCTGGTCGCAGTCCTCTGCTAACACACAAAGCTGTGCTGCATGCTTCTCAATCACCTTTGCACCTTCATGTAGTCCCCGAGCTAGGCCTCCATGAGCCTTAGACTTCCTCAGCACCAGCTGCAAAGCAGTCATGATGTCCATGGGCTCTCCAAGTGCTGGAGCAGGAGTCTCGGCAACAGCAACTGCAACATCCTCGCTACAATCGAAGGGAGTATTAANCTCAATCACCTTTGCACCTTCATGTAGTCCCCGAGCTAGGCCTCCATGAGCCTTAGACTTCCTCAGCACCAGCTGCAAAGCAGTCATGATGTCCATGGGCTCTCCAAGTGCTGGAGCAGGAGTCTCGGCAACAGCAACTGCAACATCCTCGCTACAATCGAAGGGAATATTAAGTAGAGAACCTTATGGGTAAGTTAAAGGAAGTGAAAAACTAAAAGAGCAAAATTGATTAAGTAACTAATAACTTTCCAATGTGGCATGAATAATGGAAGAAAAGTAAAAAACCGATGTCCAGTTTCCGCGAAGGCAAACTGGAAGGGATATCCCTAACCATTAAGTGCTACATTACATGAAACTTGGGAGACAGTTTAACTTAGAATACCAAGTCCAATGTAAGGTTTGCCAGGGAATAAAGATACCTCCCTTGACTTTAAGTTTCAGAACATAAGCTGATTCACAAAATTTAGGACTAAACAAAAATATTTACATGATATGTAACAATGTCTGATACCAGCTGAGAACAGAAGTTGATCCAGCATTTATGGGATCTTTAAGACTTTTAGCATTGAACCCACAATATTTTTAAAGTTATGGGTTTATATCTACTATTTGTTGTAATTTTAGCGGGTTCAGCTGGTACCGGTACTCTACATCCGCCTCTGGCTGAGAACTATTTTTTTTATTGTTAGTCGAGAACTGTTATCTATGGCTCATTGTACAATTTTCGGAAACAAGGAAAGGAATGCCACTCCATATAAACCAAAGCCTTCATGGTGAGTCTTTCTACTTCGTGTGTTTTACATCTACTTAATAAAAAGATGGAAGGAGATTTCATGATATTCATGTTAAACAAAGGAAGGAGCTGATAAAGAGATGCTATGGAACTTGGAAGGATGAAGATGAGGGAGGAGAGGAAAAGAGAATGGAAGAAGAATTTCCTGGAGAGCTGATGACCATCTCAAGTCATTATCAAGAATTGAACTTGATAGGTTCCCTAAAACTATAGATTCTCCAAACTTATCCGACACTTACATACAAATCGCTAACCAACCCAAAAAGATTCCAAGCAAACACAGAACCTAATTTAAGCAACAACAACATACCTAGTATAATCCCACACCGTAGGGTCTGGGGAGGGTAGTGTGTACGCAGACCTTACCCCATCCTTGTGGATAGAGAGGCTGTTTCCAATAGATAGGACCTAATTTAAGCGTAGAAGAATAATTCAAATAGCACTCTGATAGACTATGTACTACACATACAAAAATAATTGCAGACTAAGTTGCAATAACTACTCGTAAAGCGATCAAATAGTTATATTAAGTTGTGCACTTCTGAGTTTTCACTTGTGTCTACATCATTACCAACAGAAATGACATCGACAGGAACATTTATTTATAATCAAGTAAACTAGAATTTGACAATAAAATTAAGGGAATTCATAAAATTCCACTTACCCTGACATTTTTCGAGCAGTATGGAACACCAAAAGATCTGCTACCTGTTCCTCTCAAAGTAAAACACGGAACTTAGTCAGGTAAATAGAATCAATGATAGACTCCATAAACCCTCATCCCAAATATACCGTGCATATCCTGATCCAACATTTGGGTGCCAAATACTACTAATTTTAACAAGGGCTACATCCTTCGTATACATATATATTTCAAAATAAAATAAAATACCAGTCTCTATAAATCGAAGTGTGAAAACCCCAGAAATAATATTATGCAATGAGTAAAAGATCTAAGTTACGACTTCCCATAAAACAAAAAGAAAAACGAAACGTAAAAAAGAGATATAACTTTTTGCCAAGATTTAGAGATGGTAAAAAAGGGGGTCACCTCAAAGAATGTCGATGTTAAGCGCAGCTATTTGGCCTCAGTATTGGTGAATGATAACGGGATGAAGATTTATATGAGATGACCACTTTTGAACCCTAAAGCAGTGACACTCTAAATTACTAAACTACCGTTTTCGTAATTTTCTTTTAATAGTAGTATTAACATTTTTGGTTCCTTAGTTATCATAAATTTTAATTTAGGTCCTTGTAGTTATGACATATGACTAAGCATATTTAACAAGAATTTCTTCAGTTCATGGCTTTTTACGCCCAGCATTTGGCCTATACAAGTGGTCCACATCATCAAGTACATTTATATTCTTTGGCTAATCAAATTTATGAAGGAGTGAACTCTGTATTCTGTTGTTTTGGTTCGTGCTTAATGGTTGTGTGGTTGAATTATCATAGCAATGGAAGATACCATAATATGGTATCTTGTTGTTTGTTTTATGCTAATTGTTAAATGTTGAAAAGTTCTGGGCTTTATCTTTTCCTCCCGCGTATTTAAGATTTTTTTTCTAGTAGGTTTCTTTTTTTGAGGTGTGATAGTTTGTTATGTTAACTGTTTATTCTGAATTGAGAATACATAAATATCAAACAATTGCCAGCTTAGTTTGTTAACTTTGCTAGGGGAGCCTTGGAGCAATGGTAAAGTTATGTCCGTGTGATCTATAGGTCATGGATTCGAGCCATGGAATCAGCTGCCTACATCACACCCCTTGGGGTGCGTCCCTTCCCCGAATTCGTGCACCGGGGCTGCCCTTTTATTTAACTTTGCTACCCTCTGAAAATTACATGTGGGATGGGAAGGTTTTTATTCGCGACATCAACTTAACCTCTCTTGAAGTGCAACTTAGATAACATAATTTATTGGTAACTTCAAGAACAAAGTAATTAATGGTCTACAAAAGCATTTCAAGTCACTTAGTTGATCTCTGCAATAGGCTTGTAGCTGAGGCTAATATAAACCTTCTTCAACTTTTTATAAAACCTTTAGCTCTCCAATATGGTATCTTTCTTCTACTGTTGCCTCTGGAAATGTGTGAAGCGAGATCATGTCTGTAATTTTGCTAAGCCGTACCTTTGGATCTCATCGAATACTCCTTTATCAGTTTTGAGAAGAAAGAATCCTCTCTTTCCAATAGCTTTGCTGGTGAATCATATTCGGCTATTCTTCCTGTTCAGGGACAAGCAAAGGATATCATACAGTTAGGATGAAAAATTGGCAGTTCATTTAATTCAAGAGGATATAAAGACTTTAAATGTATTAAAAATCTTACCTTCATTCAAGACTAAGACAAGATCGCTATTAATGACTGTATGGATCCTGTGAGCTATTGTGATAACTGTTCGATTTCTGAACTCTTGACTGATAATCTTTTGTAACACTGCATCAGTTGCAGCATCAACTGATGCTGTTGCTTCATCCAAAACGAGAATGCTACTTTTCTTTAGCAAAGCTCTTCCAAGACAGAAAAGCTGCCTTTGACCCACACTCCAGTTTTCTCCGTTTTCAACCACTGTGAAAATGACCATATTAGTAGCTTTCAATAAGGAAATCGCCAGAGCTTTCATCGGAAAAGGCCACGGCTTAAGTTACTACGCCTAGCAGTATTTGAAACTTGTAGTCTAAAACAAACTATAGATATTTGTGTGGCTGTATGGTAAAAAGTAGGAATTCTAAAGATAAATTGTCTATAAACAAGGAAATGTGGCATTCTTTTAGGTACTGACTAAAAAGGAAATTGTACCATATGAATTGGGATGGAGAGAGTATTAATTAAGAAATTTATAGTCTGACCTGTAGATTCTAGCTTTTCTGGCTTTGCACGTATTATATCACCAAGTTGGCATTTGTCCAGAGCCTGAGAAAAGAAGATCATTGTACATTATTCACTAGCTAAGTCACTAATACTTAAGTTGATCTCAACTTTTTCCTTGGCTGCATGATATAAACTGGTTAAAGTTTACATTCCAATAATTTAGACTTGGCAAAACAATAATTTAGAGGAGTTAACAAGATATTTTTCTTTTGACTTGTTACCATGCAAAGATGTTGATTTATATGATAATATGCGAATTTAAGTGGACACACTTTTACATAATTATTTATTTAGAAATAAAGACCAAAATCGAAGTATTAACATCTTGCATCAATATGGATTGTGTATAATTGTTTGTGTAATGCTAAGTGCAATAAGTACCTCCCAGATTTCAGTATCAGAGTGCTGTGCTATTGGATCTAGGTTTCCTCTAACTGTTCCATCGAACATTGTTGGATCTTGAGGAATAATACTAAACCTTGACCTCAAATCATGAAGACCTATCTTGCAAATATCTATATTGTCAATGATAATGCTTCCTTCTTTGGGTTCTACGATCCGGAAAAGGGCTTGAGTGAGGGTTGATTTACCACTTCCTGTCCTTCCCACAACACCAACTTTCTTACTTCCCGGAAATGTGCATGTAATGTTTTTCAAAACAGAAGGGAGGTGTTCAGCATAACGTATCTGCAGATAGAGGTATTGTAATGATATCAGATGGTGCAAATTTTAAGCCGATCATGCTTAAAAAAAAAAGAAGAAGTAAAGATATCGTGCATCGAAGCAAATCTCATAACTGAGTCTAGTTTTATCTTAAGGCATGTGACTGTTGTCATTACCTGTAAATTTTGGAAGGAAATTGTTCCAGTTTCTGGCCAGGTGCTCGATAGCCTGCAGTTTTCAATCACGAGGGGTGCTTCACTGGCAAGGTCTGAATACTGGAGAATCCTTTCAACTGATATCATTTTGTTTTCAGTACCGCAAATATTCCATATTACTGCAGCTTGTGAATAGTTCAAATAGATGCCATATGTTACTGCTAATCCTGCAATGCCTGTAGAAAATAAAGCAACATCAGTTTCCTCCTCTGCTAAATAATATGCTTTTGACATCTTGGTTTCCTACTTCTGCTCTAAATAACATAAAGAAAATCCTAAGTAATTTCTGATTCTTACTTGGATTTATAATTCCTACAGGGAGTGTGACTAGCAGAACAAGGAAGAAGGCAAAAACAAAAGTAGAAAGCTGATTCAGTCTAAAAGATAGCCATTCTTGTGCTGATATATTGTGGAACCATGGCCTTGAATGACCATCTATGAGGCTAAGGTTTGCATGAGCAAAGCGATCTTTTTGGTTGAAAGCGCGAATTGTTGCTGCTCCTGCCAGTGATTCTGCAAAGTGATGGAGGATCGGAGCTCTTTGAACTCCAGATAAACGAGCAAGTTCCCTTGCGGTTGGTATGTAGTATTGCTGGCATTTTTAACAATAATATATCTTAAAAGAAAATCTTTGGAAACTTAAGAAACACAAAGTGTGTTGATCCTTTATCTTTAGATAAATTTTGCTAGTATTCACTTAATCATGTAAAGAAAAACTTTTAGAAAGGTGACTAAATTAGAGCAGTGAGCTTGTTTTATCACTGCGTCAGCCTCCCCTAACTTGACCACTAGAGTACTTTCCCCAAAACAAGCTGGCAACATCTTGTTTAATAAGTATATGAAATCTAATCATGTACAGCTTACTTACCTGGTACCAGACGTAAACTGCTGTTATTGGAATAAAGAGGACAAATACTTCCCATGCAACCTGCGACATGACAGCAATTGTCCCAAGAAGCTGAATAATGGAGAGAGCACACCAACCCAATTTGAGTGCAATTTCCAAGTCCACAACACTTTGATCTGTGGATGCCTGTTCATGTTATAACATGTTTTTCAGTGATTGATCGAATATAATTGCTTTAAACTGAATTTCAGCCTTAAGTTCTCTACGTTATGGCTAGATTTTAGACATTTTACTGTGTTTTTGTCAAGTTATTATCTTGATTTATCTTTATTCTGATGTTTTCTGCATATTAACTTGTGAGTTACAGTTGGTTGAGAGGATAAATTCAGATATTCGTGTCTATGAAGGATAACCAAAACTACCCGACCATTAGTACTTATGCTGTATGAATACTTAGCTAAATCAACACATCTCATTCAGATTAAGGGAAGTACACTAGAGCTGATCAATCTGCTGTCCCAACGAATCAGCCAATTTTGAGTTACTTACGCGGTTTAAGATTCGTCCAGTAGGAGTAGAGTCAAAGAATGACATAGGAGCACGAAGGATGCTGTGCAGCATGTTGCTAAAGAGCTTTTCTGCTGTTTGAAGGCCTATTATAGCCACAAATGATGCCCGCACTAGCACGCAAAGGGAACTTCCAACAGCGAGAAGCACAAAAACAACAAGTATGAAGTTCATCTTCTCAGCTATTGGTGCTGCATCATCACCTGTGGGGAATGCCGATGCCATCCAGTAGTTGCTGGCAATCTGAAGCACTTGAAATGATGATTGCGCTATAAGAATTATTGGAACAAAGGCACCACCTTTCATGGTGGTCAAGTAAGAATAGTAAACTTCCTTTCCAATGCTTCCTTTTACTCTCTCCTCATCCTGCACAAGTCTTCCATCTTTTTCTGTTATCTCTACACAGAGACTGTGTTCTGAATCCTGCTTAGTTTCTGTATTTATGTTACTATCTGTATCCATCTCACTACCAGTAATTGCTTCTTCAGA